AGTAAACGTCATTAACATGACGTCATTTTTGACGAGACAAACTCACGTCGTCATTACGTTACTATCACGTCATAAACTAACGTCGAACTGGTCAAAAACTGACTTTATATTAACGTCATTATAACGTCAGCTGGTTGCCTGGGAACACTGTCTTTTAACTATCCTATTTATGTAAAAATGTTTAAATAAATACTGCACAAGAATAATCTAACCTGATCGGTAATATAAACTCCGTATACTGTTGAAAATCCTTCAATAAACCAAAGATCAGACTGTCTAAACGGAACTAACCAATCACTAAACATTTCTTGTATCACAGTACGTGCTACCGAACATGTTGCTTTTCTTTTTTTTATAAGGGAATCTACTTCTTTGTCGTATATAATGTTAACTTCACTAAAAATAAAACTAAGTGTTACTGTCAGTACATTTTTCTCAGTTTGTACAGAGTTATAGCGTAGAAACTCGTTTTTGTATTGAGGTATGCATCTTACCTCAAGAAAATCATCCTAGGAATTAGTATATTTTCGTAATGAGTTACGGTTATTGGAAGTATTAAGTAATGAACATATGACTGTGGTATGATATTGTACCACATGCTTCTGAGACGTCCGACGATATCACGTATAAGAATTCGTGCATAGAATGTGCTATTTTTTAAGACGCTTTCAAGAATAACGTTATCCTTTCTTAAAATATTTGTCTTATATACATTTGGTATAACAATTAATGCAACCGAATGCGTAGATATTAAAGATGTAGTAGAAAATACTTTATAAAGCGTACTTTCAAACGTTTCAGGTATATTTATTAGAGCTGTATTTGTATGTTTAATTCGAATGGTAAATCTAGCTTTGGTAGCTGGATTTTCCCAATATGGAAATATCCATTCAGCAGGAATACGCGATAAAAACAGTAATCTACTAAAAACAAATTTAGAAATACTAATACCACAACAATACGGCAATAAAGTATTACAGTAGATAAATATATTTCGTTACATAAAATAATAAGTTAGTATTAAAAATATAATAATCATATTTACAAAAACAAACAGAACAAATATAGTACTAGAAAAATACAATTCTGTTTAGTAAATCATAATGCTGTTTACAAAAATATATAATATTAGTAAATGTATTTAGTAAATGTCTTTATATTAGTATATAAATTAAAGAATAAATTTAGGAATTGTATTAGATAAGGTAAGACCTAGTAATATCATGTATTGTAAAACAAATTTTGGTGCAATATTTAAAATTAAAAATATCTGGTGACTAATATTTTGATAATGTAGAAATAGATGTAGTTTAAATATGAAATTGTATGATGTTTGCAGCAGTATAAATATGTTATTATGCAATAGATTTTTATGCACTTACTCGTTTGTTACACTTTGGTTCATGTATGTAAAAACCATTGCAATTCCTTTTAAGGTACAGTTATACATTGAATTTATCACGTAGTTTCCAGATTGTATAGGTTCTTTTTCCTTTCGTTCCGCACGACATACAGGGCTTTTGCACTGTTTGGGGAAATTAATATCTACATTTGTGAATCGATTTTTGGTAGTATTTGACTGTGATATAGTGACTTCCGAATGTGGTATAGTAGTATAGAGCTTTGCAGTTTTAATATTTAAATCTTGTATATTACAATAACGTCCAATTTGTAATTTGATGTAGTGCTGTTCGCATGACACGTTTAGTACAACAGTGGAATTGACAAAAAGAGTAGTGTCTTGTATTTCTAAGAACATAGTATAATTTATCGGGTGTACACACTGCGATGTCTGAGACAAATTCTCATCAATAGAAGAAGCTATTCCGATAAGAGATATTGAGCATAGTGTTCCGAAGAGTATAAGCATTTGCGTAATGCGTGCCTACAAAATTATTTAGGTTGGTAAATGAGAAATACAGACACACATTAAAACAAAAGTAATACGCAAAATATTATAAAACAACGAACGTTTGCAATATCAAATGCACAAACAGCAATCACAGATGTGTGACCATTATGAGTATGTTTAGCAGAAAAGATGTTTTTTATTTCTATCACGCACACACATCACAACACATATCACGGATGTGGATTTACCAATCCGACATACAAAGAGACGAATAAGAAAACAAAGTACAGTTTTACTCTATACTACATGTGTTCAATAATATTTGAGATTTTTGGAACAAAATTAAATTCAAGAAACTCGTTTAAGGTAGTTCTATCACGAGACAAAAGTTCTGACATAAATTCTAATTTTTTATATACTATTGTCTGAACCAATCTTCATTTTTTTAAAGCAAAAAACTGTTGGTTATCGACCACTTTAATGTAACATATTAAGTTAAATAAAGATATAAAACATTGACATATGTAGTATACGTAAATTCTTTGTGTTCGTATTGAAGTGATTTAATATAATAAATCTGAAAAATCAATAGTAGATCTAATAATAAATGAAAGTGTAACTTTCTCTCTCTCTCTCTCTCTCCCCATAGATCGACTTATATTTATTTAGATTTACTTTATATTTATTTAGATTTAAGTTGGATCTAATTAGATCTATTTTTTCAGTATTTTTATTTTGTTAAATTTAAAGTAGATCTAATTTATTTTTGCTCGTGTAGACTTGAGATCTTTTCCAAAAACTACCAACTATATTTTCAAACTGTCTACTAAGTAAACATTGAAAAATATAACAACTGTAACGACTATTTTGATTTAATAAATTGATCTACATTGATAAATGTCAAAATTTTAACCTTTACGTAGTATAGCAGCCATATGTGGCAACGCCGCAATTATACTCAATGTGATGTAACATAGTTTACTTTATTTCATCAATAATTATATTTTTAGTTATGCATAGTACGCGTTTTTTCTTATAATTTTTAATACCCGCATTAAGCTCTTACGAAATCTGGCCCTACGTGATAGAACTACATTAATTAGATTTTAGCGCGTTTTGCATTGCATAATAAACTTATAGTTCGATAGTAACTGTCAGATATTTGCATACGGTTAAAAACGTTATATTTTATAACACTTGTAAATCTTCAACAAATATAAGAAAACATAGAAGTAAGAACTTACCATCTTCTATACAATGATATCCAATGCATTAAGATATAAATCTTGGAAGAAATATTCTTACGAACTTCTAGTACAACGAGATCAAAAACGTAACGTTGCGCGATCTTACCTCTTCGAGATATTCTCGAGAACTAAGAAACGATCGTTTCAGTGGAACAATATCTACGTGCCAGAAAGTAAACATCTGTGTTTGAGAAAACGACCTTATTTCTGTTTTTTTTTATGTACGTGTATGATGATAGAAAAAGTGGTTTTATATATGTCGTTTTCACGGTTAAATATGAGAATATAATTTTACATAAAGACTGTTTTATTTAATAATGAGATAATTTTCCTCGAAATCTGTACTTGAAATATTGTTCATAATTTAGAAAATTTAATTTGAAATATTGTAAATAGGCAGATATTCCACTGATAAAAATGCACAGAATTTGTTTGCTGGTTAAATATTCGGAACTGCATTCGAAGTCGCTACAATCCAGATTTTATTTTTTCCGTTTTACGCAAAAGTTCGCAGTAACTTGCGCGATGTCACGTTCGTCGCGAGCGTTGTATTTTTCGGTAGCCTTTCTTTGAAAAAGATGTTGTACGACTTTACAGAGTTGCCTGACAAAAGTAGAGACACGACATAATTATTTAAGCGAGATGCAAGAAAAGTGTTGTCAGCGAAAATGGTGAAAAATTTTTATTAGTAAACTGGGTTTTAAGGTAAATTTTTTTAGTAAAACTTTTGAAATGATGCAAGACGATTATTTGACATTTATTGTAACTGTAAATGTACAATTCTAGTTTGTGCAATTTTGTTATTTTGATGAGAATGTTGAAATTACTTGTAATGCATTTTTTTTTTTTTTTTTTTTTTTTTTTTTTGCGTGGGGGAAATCCTTTATGGATACCCCGGTCTCTAGGGGGAGAACCGGGGTTATGCGGGACTCCTCTCCTGCCTCGAAAGGTGAGGAGGGTATACCCGCTAAAACCCCCACGGTGTGCCTACTCTGCGCGTTGGAGGGAGAGACCCCGTACCCCGTTAGGACAACCACGGGTCCCTCCCGCGCAATCTTGGACATCCCGGGAGGGGGACCGAAGTCCCCTCCTATACCCTTTGTGCGGCGGGGTGGGGCACACGCCTCCTCGCCGCCCTGCTCACGGGCCGAAGTGCAGGACGGGACGGAGCCCCCACTCCGTCCCGTCTCGGCCCGAAGAGATTACTTGTAATGCATAGTCATACTTGTAACTTATACGACAATTGTCACGTTATCGTAGTACAGTTAAATAGTTTTTACAAAAATTTATTACTTATAATTATTAAACCAAAGTGAATAATAAATTACTAGTAACCTATGATCCAGTAATAATTTAACAAATTACTGAAAATTATTAGATAATTACTAAGAACTTATTTCTGATGAATTACTGAATAAATTACTATTAGTGTTTGCATAAAAATTTGTTTGAGATTTATTCGGAAAGTAAGTAGATTTTTCCAAAATATATTGAATTCTCGTTGGAAATATTATATCAATTTCAATTGGTAATGTAACGTTGTGCGATTTAAAATCAAGAAATAGATTCTATCTAGAATCCAAGTAGAATTTTTTAGTAAAAGAAAACAAATACCACTGGCACATTGTTTTCTGGAAAAGAAAGTAATTCGAGGTTTCATTCAAATTAATTTTTAGAGGCGATTTATTTCGATGATCGACTGATGAACTCCATGGAACAGAACCAGACCTAAAAAAATCTTAAACATGATTTCAACTCGACATCTTTATATTTGCAGCCCCCTTACTCAGTCAGCGAGACCACTTGTTCTTTATTAAATCGTAATTATTTTTATTTACTTATTCTCAAGCTATCTTACACATTTTATTTTATCTATTTAAATTATTATTTCCTTAAAATATATTGCAGTGCAACATACCTGCAACAATAAATACAAATATTTCTAATCAATATTAAATTGAGGATCTTCCTCGAGCTCATGAAGTCTATTAAACTTAATAAAAAAATTTTTTTTTAATTCAATTAGGGGAGTATTCGGGGTCTATCATATATGAGATGCAAAACTAGCATCCTATATGAATTTAAGAATTGAAATTTCAACTCGAAAAAATCACACGTGTAAAACGTGATTTCACTTATATAGGTGTATACACATATAAGACATATTTTCCGCACAACATCCTGCAAACGGCTCTTATTTATTCATTTATTAAAAATATTTTTCTTATTATTATAAATGTGCCAGTAAGTTTTGTCACAGCTAACTCATTGAGTCAATGAATTATTATAAAGCTTCAGAACTTAATTTATTCTGCAGCCATATTACTGAGTCGGTGATTCATCATTGAGTCTGAGTAATCACATAGTTCCTTTACTTAGCAAGTAATTCATTTTTTACATAATCTCTCAATGATTCTTTAGTAATTTATTCCACGACTCATTTACTGGACCAGTAATTGAGTCGTGTAATAAATTACTAAAGAATCATTCAGAAATTATCAAACACACATATTACAATTACTAAACTACTGAAAATTATTGACACAGTAGTAAATAAAGTACTAAAAATCACTGCGATTAATTGATTAAATTACTTAGCGACAATCATTAATCA